CTCTCTCTCTCTCTCTCTCTCTCTCTCTCTCTCTCTCTCTCTCTGTGTGTGTGTGTGTGTTCTCTCTGAAGCTCCTATGTTGAACAATTTCTGAATTATAAACATTTTTGCATGTCCAGACACCCACTCTTTGGATGGACCCCCCTCCTCAAATATGGGGTCTATCGTAAAACCGTTGGCTGGCGCAGTGTAGGTCTGACTCATCTACAGTCCTGCCAAATTTCACCTTGATCGGTGCAGCCGTTTTTGTGCTACGGTTGACAAAAAAAAAAAATCACTGAAAAAAATAAATAAATAAAATAAAACAAAACAAAACAAAAAAACCCCGTATGAAAACAATACTGTATCTCATGTACAATGTAGCGCATTCACAAACAACAACAAAACGAAGCTAAACAAACAAAACAAGCAAGAACGTGACCTATGTTAATTAGCTTAGTGTGATTTAGACCATAAAGTCTAGATAAAACTGAGAGGCCATAGTCTTTTACAGTTTTTTCCAAATTCTAACACACTAAAATGACATCCATAGCACAATTATTTTAACTGACACACAAAGAGCAAAACCTCCTCTCAAATCTCCAAAAGTCAAAACATATTTTCTGTTTTACACACATTTTGCTTTTCAAAATGGCACTTTTTAAATGAACTGAACACAGCTCTCTGCATGAGACACAACAATCTGACATAAAATCACATGTTTGCAATTTCAAAACTTAGCCATTCAAAATGACAATACATGAGCTAATTGGCCGAAGTATGTTCTACCTGGCCAAACACATGGGCCCTCATGCATAAAGGAGTGCGCAGGTTTCACACTAAATGTTGGCATAGGTACAAATTTGTGCACCGCACAAGAAAAATTCTGATGTATAAAACTGTGCACACGCATGTTTCTTATAAGTTTGGTAGAACTTAGAAAAATATTTATTAAATAGTTGATGTCAAGAAACGAGTTGCAGCGCCTCAGGTTTCTGAATCATGAAGTCTCTCATTCAGCTGCATGGCTCAGCTCAGAACTGTAGTAAAATACCTGACTGCAATTTGTGTGATACAAAACAAATAAACAAACAAACAAACAAACAAAAACCACGCTGTCCTCAATTCTTCTTGTGGAGATATCAACCTGCAGAACAGTTGACATTGTTCCACAAATCACACACAACTTTACGCAGCAACAGATCTATTGTCTGCATCTTCTGGAGCTGAGGAATCATCACAGCTGAGCTGTTCTGAATTAATCTGCTGAGTTGACAAAGTTTTTCTCAGTGAGAATTAGAATATTTCGTAGACCATTCACACACATTTTATTCTCCTCAGCTGTGTGTGTGCCTCACAGGCCTGCGCTCCGCATGTGTTTCCAACTACATGACAAAAATATAAAAACTTACAGTTTACAGACTGGACTGAGGTTCTTTTTATCATTTTTCGGCTGATCTATTTTCTTGTCTGAGTTTTAATGATTTTCAGTCCCGGGGTTCAGTTTCACGATCTATCGAGTTTAAACAATAAAAAATCAAACGAAAATAAAAATCTAACACCGCGTTCAGACACTCTTTACATTCAGAAAACACAACAGAGTCATATTTCTGTGGATTCAGGTCAGATTCGTGACTTTGTGGGTTAAAACTGTCGACTGAAAAACTTTGCGTGGCTGCTGCACATTCTCACGGCAGGTGAAAAGTGTGCATAAATATACGCACACTTTCACGCAAAGTTGGTTTTGATACATTCCAACGTGGGCGTAGAACCTGGCACACGCTCCTTTTTTATGCGTACGCATCGTTTATACATGAGGGCCCTGAATGCTTAATGGTTAACACTCCAATCAGGAGCACTATAAAAAGATTTCTTACAACAACAATGGAAGACATTGCAGAGAAGATGAAGATGGAGGGTGAGAACGAGAGGGGGATGAAGAGTGAGAGGAAGAGGTGGAGCTGGTAGAGGAGTTCTTGGTAAAGAAGACAACCTTCAAATGAAATCAGAGCAACCTTAGTTGATCATGTTATCAACCACTGGCTGACATTGTGAGTAGCTGGACAGAGTGCAGCCCAACATGAGCCATTTTAAGGCCTCTGCATACGCCCTCCAAAGCCGAACAGCCGATGCACATTCACGTGGTTTTTCGGCGTTCGTTTTCGCTCACAACTTTCATAGTCTCTGAGACACCCCGCGCCAAGCTAGGAAACCCCTCCTGCTGCAGCAAATGTCACTACAGGGGTGTTCCTCCCRCTGAAGTCCACAATGCGGAAAAAAGTCAGAGACTCGTTACCCGATGTTATTTACCCACGAATCTGTTACAGTTAAAGCTCCAAAGTTTTTGTCAGTTACATTCCACCATGCAAAATGCTTGTTTTATCTCCATCCACGTGTTTTTAGCCATTTGACTATCTTTATAAATCGCCTTTTCCTGCTACAACAGTCGGCTCATGAAGCGAGTTGCTTTTTTTGTTTGTTTGAAATGAGCGGTTAAAACAAAATGAAGTTTCTGAGCGCTTTCAGCACAAACAAACACTCCCACGAACTTCTGACCAATCACATATAAGTTCTTATGTGGAGGGGGGTAAAAAGTTCGACCCGCGGGTTGTGTCGAGAGGCTGCTGAAATGTCGGCAATGAGAACAGAATTTATGTCATGAAACTGTGACAATCCAAACTCATTTCGGCAGTTTAGAGGGAGTATGAAGGAGCCTTTACTGTTACCACTGTCATCTGGACATTTGGATTGGAGCACAGGTATATAACCAAAATTAATTTCACAAGATGCAGTAGACCCATGTCACAGTGTATCAGCGTGACACCTGTTTACTTCATGAATGGCTGATGTCATACACTAACTGTACAAGTTCCCTGTACAATTTACTCTACTGTGGGGGAAATATCTTTAGGCTGCATTGTCCAAGCCCTATATCTATTTTTTTGTTTTGTTTTTGTGAGCATGTTTTTTTCATTCCAGTATAAATGTTCTGTTGTGAATTTGTTGCAGTGCCCTGTTTGGGAAAAAAATAAAATGTTTCAACAGCGTGTGTGAATCTGCAAATATTTCTGTGCATGTGAACAATCTGAAAAATCTTGTACAAGTTGAACTATTTTAGTGTTATGGCAAGCATACTAGAGATGAGAGTGCTTTACATTATGCCCAACAGTGTTGGTTAGACAAAAATCTGGTAATATGCATGGCATGTGTGCCACTTGGTGCAACAGTTTTATTTTATTTTATTTTATTGATTGATTGATTGATTGATTGATTGATTGATTGATTGATTGATTGATTGATTGATTGATTGATTGATTGAT